CCGCAGCACGGGAGAGCGGGCAGCAGGTGAAGACTCCTCAGGCGGGCGCCCAGGCCCGGCCCGGCCCCCCGGGACCCGCACGGGGTCAGCGCTGCGTGGATCCGCCGTCCTCGTTGTCGCGGGGCCGGGGAGCCGGTCACCGCTCTGGAGAAGACCGGCCCGCATCCCCCCTGCCCTCCCCTCACGGCGCGGGTGCAGACGCAGCACCCACGCCCCTCGGGCCTCTCTCCCAGGGACCGATGTCCCAGCAGCACTGACATGGGCTGTGATCCCGCCCTGGCCTGGCGCACAGGTGTCGGTCCTCCTCTCCCGCTTCGTGTCTGCGGAGGTCTGTCAGCAAGAGCCGTGGGATTTGGAGTCTTTCTTCCCCCCTTCTCCCGCACGCGGAGGCCTCCGGGTGCCGTAGTGTCAGGCGGGTCCCAGAGAAGAGCAGGGCTGTCCCCGCGCCGGCAGCACCAGGACCGACCTGTGCTTCTTCCCCGCCCGCAGGTGCAGGGACCGTGAGCAGAGCTGAGCAGCAGTCTCCTGGGAAAGGGCCTGTAACCCTGGAGCTGCAGAGGACTTCCCCAGGGAGAGAGGGGCTCCCTGACACCTGAGCGGGGCCGGGCAGGCCGTCAAACGGGGAGAGCATGGAGGTGAGCAGGGCACCAGGTCCAGCTGGGGGTGGGAGTGCAGCTGGGGCAGCGCCAGGAGGAGCCAGGGCTGCTGTAGAGCATTTGGGGAGCGGAGAGACCTGCAGAACGACGAGGCTCTGGTGACGGAGGCTGCAAACACCCCGAGCCTGCGTGGAGCCAGGGCTCCCCACCTCTGAAAGTGCTGCCTGGGCTGCCTCCAAGGACCCAGCAAGTAGAACGTGCTGAGCTGGGTCAGGGCAGACGCATGAACTCCCCTGTCCACAGCTGCAGCCACGTCATGTGTCAGCTGCATAATGGGCAAGTCCGCTCCCCGACCTGCCATGGCGAAGCTTGCACATAGTTGTAGCAGAGAGGAATTGCAGACAAGGCGGCGGGGGCTGGAAGCAGGTGGGACAGGAGATGCTGATGAGGTAATGCTTGTGACTGCAGCTCCGGGAGGCCTTTCAGGACATGGCTGTGTATTTCATGCAAGAGGAGTAGAAGCTGCTGGGAGATGAAGACAAGGGGCTTTACCAGGACCAGATGCTGAGGAATTACCAAGCCCTCATTTCCCTGGGTAAAGCTCTGGTTCTTGCTTCTCTGTAGACCTATGTAACCTCTGAAGTTTCTTGTCTTCTCCCTCATCACATGGACTTCTGGCTGGTGGTTTAAGCCCGCTTCCTCCCTACTTCTCTGTCAGTGATCAGACCTGTCTGCCATCTCGTAGGGATATATACTTCTTGATTTCTTCCTGTCAAATCACATTTAACAATCCCAGCACGCTCAGTTTAGCATTGTGTAAATCCCCTTTCTTCTTTCTTGGTCAAGAGCCAATAGAAGTTAGTGGAAGTCTTGTCAGCCTCTGCTGCTGAAGCATGTGTATTATCCATTTCCTCTACTCCTTCTCTCATGACACGTTTTACATGTGATGGGCCCTGGTGCTTCTCACAAGTAGTCACTGGAAGCTTCTGTCCAAGTTCCTTCCCAACCTCTTTGTCTCCATGAACCACAGACTCTGGCTTTGATATATTTACTTAGAGACCTCTGCTCCCGACATCACTCTGCCATTCTCAGAAGTTGTCTTGTCCTCCTCAACCCTCTGCAGAGCAGGTGCCCATCACCATAATCAAAAGAAGTGGGCTAGGTGCAGGGTTTCATGAAAGCCATTTTTTATTTCCAGGGGATTATTCTGGTTTGTGTACAGGTTTGAGGTCTTACTAGATCAGTTTGCTTCTCTGGTTCTTGCTTTTCCCTTCAGTTCCCCTAAATAACTTCCTTGGTTAAAAGCTTAAACGTTTTTACTATCTCCACAAAGCCCATATATAGAGGGAGCTTTTTCCTTTTTTCTGTAATTAATTTGAAAATGTCTTGGGGGGGAGGGGTTGCACTCTTCTGAAAAAGTAATGGTTATCACTCATTTTGGTGGTCCTCTGCATTCCAGTTGCAATAGCTTTTTCCTTAACGTTTTTAGCAAGCGGCTAAGTAACTGTTCTCCTGTCACCAGGACACTGGTATTTACTGCATTGCTCTTCGAGCAAGAGCTGGGATAGGACAATAGTCCCCTTTCAGCCCCAAGCTCTTATCCCGTTCTGTTTTCTAGGTGCGACACAGTAATTCCCACCCTGTTCCTCTCCTATGTTTCAAGATCATCCAGAGCCGGCGTATACAACTCTCCTGTTCACCTGTGTTTTCAGTTAACTACTGCTCTCCTCATTGGCTCTGCCCTGTCCCCTGGACTTCCAACTTTAATTGGCAGTGTCAACAAATGCAAATGTTTTGGGGGTTATTCTACTTTTATTCAGTTCTCAAAACATGTCTTCCAGGCATGAAAAACCTGTTGGGGGCCACGGGTCGATCCTCCTTTCTAGAGTTAATAGCAGTGGGTTCTGAATCCAAGTAATTTGTTCATGCAGGCAGGTAGAGGATGATGACAGCCTTGCCTATGGAGCAGTGGGCCAGCGGATGAGAACAGTTGGCTGGCCAAAGGATATGGAAAGCTGGCAGGAAGAGGAAGCTGGGTGGAGAGGCTGGAAGGCTGAAGGTAGCAGCACCAGCCAAGGCTCTCTCCTGGCCTAAGAGACCACAGGGGTGGGTAGACCTTTTATGGACTAATTAGTGTTTAAGAGGAGTTTGGAGGGGCCGGTGAGCCAAGAAGGTAACGACTCTGCATAGTTTAATGTTTGGGAGAAACCTGAGAGAAGTAGGGTGAACCCCAAACCTGCTACACGGTTCTTGTCTCTTCTGCATGAAACTTGGTCGAAATCCAGCTTTGCCCCTTCTTAAGGACTTCTCCTTACTTCGATACCTTATGAAGTCTATGTATTCCCCCACGAGGTTTGCTACCTGGCTCACCTTATGGGACTGGCTTTTGCTGAATTCTACTTCAGCAGCTGTAAGTGTAAACTCCTTCTTCATATCCCAAAGCGTATCTGCATCAAGCTCTTAATTGTTACAAGATGACCATTGGTTGACTTTCCTGCATAGTTCAGGCTTTCTCTTATAACTTAATTTCTACCATTTCATGCCTCCCTCAGTTCTCTCTCAGATGTATCTTTGGGAGTTGCCCTAAGTCATCGAGTAGGACAGTGTGTTGGGCGACTAGGCTCTCACAAGATATCACGCTTTCACTGTGGTTATAGCTTTCTTTCTAGCCATTGTGCTATTTATCTGTCTTGGATGGCCATTTCTTTTGCATGTCATTCTAGGGTTCTCCTTGTTTTGGGAAACTATGTAGATCATTACCACATAATGAGATTTCGTGTGCTGCAAAATGCATCTCCTTGCTTTATTCTTTTGTTCATATACATAATTCCCATGAACTTCCTTTTTTACCTGCAGTGTCTGCCACCCTACGTACTCATCTCTGCCGTGGGATTGTTCTCACATTGGATGGGATGATTGCTTTAGTTGCACCTGTAGTTATTATAGAATGATCTTTTCCTAAGCCTTGCTTATGATGAATCACCCTCTTTCCCAGAAAAAAAACCCTCATAAGGTAAATGTTATCTATCCATAAGTGTTTGCAGTGTCTCTTCATTTTGGTTCCTTGAAAATAGTAAAAACTTTCTCATTCTGCTTTCTAGTACATCACAAATCACTGCATCTCCATCCCTGTCCCTGGTGACTGTTGGTCTCCTACCCTTTTTCTACCTCCGAGAGGCCCATGCTTTGTTTCCTAAATCCATTTCTCCACTGTGCGGTGACAAGGACCATCATTTAATGAACCTTTCTTCCTGCAGCACCTTCCTTTTTAATCAAATCCTTTGATTAAATTCACCAGTGCTGAAAGATCTTTGCCTGGCCCACATCACACAACTCTGGAGAAGCAGGGCTGGAACAGACCTCCAGCAGTCTCTAGTCTGATCCCCGGCCGGAGGTAGGATCAGCCGACTGCAGGGACCCAAACTTGTTCCCATAGACCAGGGATGGGCAAAATGCGGCCCCGGGGCCGGATGTGGCCTTCCCGG